CTTAAGCCGCTATCTTAGTAGGGGTGCCGTAGTCTCGCGACGTTAGCGGGGTATTGAACGAATTTAATTAAAAGGGGCTAACCCTAAGGGCAATTGCTTGAAAGAATTATATAAATTCGTTAACCTAAGATCTATAGAGGGCTATCCGGCTATATAGTTTCTTCGGATAGATATCCGGCTTCCGGATATCTTTACCGGTAACCGATTTGTCGGGCGGGTCCTTCGTCCGGTATCGGCAGGTTCTGATATTCTGGTCTCCGAGGTTTCCAGCCGAGTCTTATCCGACTGGGCCTAGCCCATTACAGTTACGCTGGCAAATGGGTTGGGTATACCCAGTCTTGGGTTGGGGTTGGGTTGGGGTCGCACAGACCATGGGTTAGGGTTGGGTTGGGGTCGCACAGACCATGGGTTAGGGCTGGGCTGGGGTCGCACAGACCAAGTGGTAGGGTTGGGCTTGGGTTGGGTTGGGTTGGGTTGGGGTTGGGTTATATTTTTTGGGTACTTTAACGGAACAACACTTAATTAAGATAATGTGTACACGTTGATGATATAGTAGATACATAAAACGAGATATATTAACACAGCTAATTATCACGGTAGCGCTGAGGACGCTGGCGCTTTCGAGGTGGCAATTGACGCTCCTCCTGGACCTCTTCCTCCGACTCTTCTTCTGTAGTCTGGTTCTCCTCATCTATATCGAAGGTATGCTCTAACGAGACTGGAAGCTCAAAAAGATCATTAACCTCGTCAATTGGCTCTCCATCCTCCCCTAATTGAGCAACTAGGTAGTCTAGACCCTGTTCTTCCTCTTGAGATATTGTATCCTTAAGAACCATTATCTGCTGTATTGTCCGGGCAGATAGTCGGTGCCTCCGACTACCAATAACATCCTTAGCAACATTGAAAACTCTTTCAACCCCAACCTGAGCAATTGGTATTGCTAGTATATCCTTCGCCACTTGGGATAGTCGTGGGTAGGTAGGCTCGTTCGTCTTCCACCACTCTAGAATATCGAAAGAGTCATCTGTCATTACACAGGCAGTACTAAGGTAGGACTCTCCTTCTTGGCGGGTTGGGCCAGTTGTCTTGTCTGATTCTACTAGTGAAGAGTTCTGGGAAGAAAAGCTGTTTAACGCTGATGTAGGGGGAGGAGCTGGCTTTCTGAACCACTCATTCCCAAGTGACCTCCTTTTGACTATGCTAGAGCCTGGGGTTGAACCTCTCCCGTCCGTATTATCATAACGATCAAGGTAAGCAAGAAATTGGCCTCGGTAGAGATGCTTGTACTGTGGCTCCCATGAATCGTCCTATAAGCGTAATTAGAGCGTGACTGTGATAAATAGCTGTGATAATCATACTTCATATGCTGTAAGCTTCTGCGTTGGATCAAGGATAGTGGCACAATTAAACAAGAACCCACGTTCTGCGTCTGTCTTCGAATAGTACTTGCTCAGTTTTAGACGACCCCTGTCAGCTGCAGCTCGTACTACGTCTAGCCATTCCCTATCATCTTGATTTTCTTCATCCTCATCTAGGTCCTCTGACATTTTGTCCAAGAAATCAAACAGTCGATTGTACATTAACCAAATATACTGAATCTGGGGCTTCTCGTTCTGGCTGAGGAAGCTAGTTGCTGTTTTAAACCGTTTAAGCATCTCAGTAACGAGTTCGAGATGATGCCACTCAGTCGAAGATAAGCGGAGGCGTTTAAGATCCCGGAAATCAATCTCAGCCATTTGATTGTTGTCTAGAGAGCTATCCAGGTGACTACCTGGCCTTAGCAAGATTTCTTGTTTAAGCCATTCATCAATATATTTTTGGATTTTGAGCGCGCGCTCTAACATGTCGTATGTTGAGTTCCATCGGGTTTTCACGTCGCGGATAACAGATAATCGCTCCTTTGGCGGTAGATGTTGTTGTACCGCAATAAACCGCTCAAAGCGTTGAGGTGATACGTCAATAGCGATACAAATCGCCCTTATCTAGTCTATTATTAGTATGTGATAAATGAATGTGTTAAAAGCGAAATACCTTGCGAAGGGAATTTGGGACTGAAATATGCGTCTCAATGTCCTGTATATGACGTCTCTGTAGGGTATCCCTTGCTCCTAACTCTGTAGTTGCTGCTAGCCGAAGGTGTTGGATAATATCCTGGACAACGAGGTTGATAATATGGGCAAGGCAAGGGATAGTGTTTTCTCTGGCACTCCACTGAATGTCGACTTCTTGGAGTTTAGACTGGAGAGTGCGAGCAAGTACGCTATTGTTACTAGCGTTATCACAAGTAATAGCTAGAAGCTGGGTTTTGGTCTTTGTATCCAGAAGAATATGCAGTACCTCGTCTGCCATAGAAGTACCGGTGTGCCTGCCGCGCATAGGGAGAAAGTCAAGTAGCTTTTCCTGAAGTTTCCAGTCTTTGTTAATGTAGTAACCCTTTACCGCAAGAAAGCAGAGGTGATTAGCTGCAGACCAGGCATCTAAGGCGATTGAGATCTTTGTTGATTTTCCAAGATCTCGAAGGATAGACCTTTTTGCTTCCTCATGTTGACTCTTGAATATCGTCTTGAATTTACAACGACTAATTATCACAGTATCTGTTCGAAGGAACCGAAGAAATCGATGGAAAGATGGTCGTTCAACTGTTCGGAATGACCAGTTGCTGTCGATTACTACCCGTACAAGCTCCTTTTCAAAGGTAGTAGTAGTGTAAGCTGGTATTGATGAAGTACTGTTTCTTTGTTGACGTTGGGATAGAGTAGAGGCCGATAAGTCTGCCTCATTATGAATAGGAGTAAGGACATTTCGACAGCTTTTTGTTTTAAGATGAGTAATAAGGTGCTTTGTCCCAATACCACCTAGATTTGGATGCTGGAGTGCAAGACTACAGTTGTAGCAGAACACGTAGGGGTGGCCAGTTCGAAGCTCAGCAGCTTCTCCAAATCGTAACCATACTGTGCCATAGCGAGTAGGAGAGTTCCATCGTGGGTTATCATTTTTAGGGTTTATACCCCAGCTAGTATTACTCCACGACGCTGTCCATGTCCCTAAGATCTCACTTACACTATAATCTTGCAGAAAACGATTATTTGGATATTTCACTAATCCAATCGTTCTCCTGTCACCCCCCTTTGTAACCTGTGGAGAATTGATTTTTAAACAGTTGAGATCCTCCGGAAATTCAATATTAGTAGGATTAGGCATAAGCTCAATAGACTGTGCAGCTATGTCCATCGCTTCTAGAAAGTAGTAGAATAAGGCATTAATAGTAGTAGCACACAATAGGAAAAAGTTGAGAAGTTTAAGTTTGGATGTAGGACTCGAGGCTTCTCACGCTCCTCTCAGCTTTGCTTGCGCTATGACGCCTGTAATTTAACTTGAAACCTTGGCATATTACTAGCGGAATATCATTTTTAATGCCTCATAGTAAACACAGAGATCGTCAGGAGTGCACGGATATTAATCTGCATAAATGACAGATCACAATCTTAAGTTAAGATTATATGGCGCAATAATCCGTGTTAATTGGTTGTGATAACTGCTTACTATCCCTCAATGCTTGAAAGTGTCTTAGCCTAAAACTCTAATTATCAGACTCAGAAGCGGCATCAGAATCCGGAAACCCCTCAAACTCAGAGTCCTCAGATTCCTCAGACTCCTCAAGCGCTGCCTGCTTCTGTACAGCAGCCCACTGGTCGTCATCCTCGTACTCGTCTTCAAGTGAATTGAAATGCTCCTCAAGATCAGAGTCATAGTCAACCTCTTCTTCACACTCATCGCTATCGTCACCTTTAACGTACGGCTTATCACCCTCCAGCTCAATATCAGCGTCACCAAGTAAGTCGAGAATGCTAGGTGGCTCCCGTTGCCTTATTATATTAGTATCTCTGTGATAAAAGGATGTGATAAACTTACTGCCAGTCATTATCAGTTACGACTTTCATCTCATCAGGTGTAAGTTCCTCCACGAACTTCTCAAACTCTCTCTTAGCCTCCTTGCTCTCAAAGTCGTTGTTGTTAAGCTTTGCTAATCCTTCTTGATAGGTCTTTCGAAGAATCTTTTGCAAAACACCACCTGAGCCGTAAATTCTTGCTATTCCTCTACCACTAATGTCATGGGTGGGCTTGTCATCTTTGCTAAGCACTTTCGCAATCGTGATCTCGTGTTTTCTCATATCCACCTGCTTAGTGATCGCATCCCATTTACGATGCACATGAGTTAGGTTTGTCTCTAGCCATTCAGCTATAGTCTATTAGCAGATGTCTATGATAAACAGCTGTGATAACTTACCAGACTTTTTCTGGGTAAACCGCTTCTCTGAAAGTATATCCCACTCTTTCTCTAGCAGCTTAGCCTGTCTAGCACTATTTGCTAATTTATACTTAGGCTGTTGCAAAAGCGATTTCTTCAGTTGGTACTTCGCGGAGCGGTCGGCTGTTCTAACGCTTTCAAGTACCTTCTCCTCTTTATCGAAAAGAGCTTTGCGTTCACGTTGAGCAATAGCACGGGCGCTACCACTCAGAGAGCCAGTATAGGGGACGCTCAAATTGATAGGTCGGCCTTTTCGTGAACCCCCACTACCTCTTTGATCTAAGATACCGTCAATCTCGTCAGCTTCACACGCAAATCCCTGCTTATATTAGCATAAGCTGTGATAAATGGCTGTGATTATTACATCGGTAAGCTGCTCCCACTCATCTTGTTCGAACCCAGGCGGAGGTTCAAGTTTGATGGCTGGAACTAGGCCTTCAGGTACGTCGCCGACTTGCTCTTTCGCGACAGGCATGGCGGGGACTGTGATAATGCGCTGTTGTAAATGGGGTGTTTTCAATGTAGTAAAGAGAGTTATTAGGTGTTGGGAGTTACTGGGCGTCAGGGGCTGGAGAAATGGGTAGACAGCATTATGCTCACCTAGAAATGGTCCGTGCGCTGCTGCCTGCGCTAGCGCGAAAACGCGGAAATTACCCAAAATGATCAACACATCGATGATTCCTTCATTTTTGGGCTGCACGCATGCGCGAGCTCGGCGTTTATCACAGCAGTTTAACACGTTTGTATGATATGCTCGCTACTGATTTTGCAACAGAAATGGTTGTATGCGATCGTGAAACAGCAAATTACGTCATGCAGTCCGTGCGCTGCTGCCTTTACTAGTGCGGAAATCGGGAAATTGCCGTCGCCCAAACTTTCCAGCTACCTAACTCTTTCAGCCTACTACTTTCTTAATTGTCGACCACATTTATCACAGTAATTAATCACATACGTCGCCTACGTTCATCATCTACTCTACTACGCAATGGCAAGGACAAAACCACGGCCTAAGGTCACCGGTAAAGCCGGCCGGGGTGGTCCTGATGGCAAGACAGTTACTGGCGGCAAGCCGGCTCAGAAGGCCCTTGCTAGTAAGGCTAGACGTCAAGTAGCAGGAAAGTCTACGCGAAAGGCACCTGTAGCTGTTAAGAAGAAGCGCAAGTTTAAGGCCGGCAGTAGGTTATCACAGTCGTTTATCACAGCTATTTTCTAATTTAGCTTAGCTGTCGCATTACGGGAAATCAAGAGATACCAGAGAGGTTTTGAACTACTCTTGCGAAAACTCCCCTTTTCCCGCGTAGTGCGCGAATTTGCACAGGTGCACAAGGCCGATATCCGCTTTCAACGATCTGCAATCGAAGCTCTTCAGGAAGCTACAGAAGCTTTCTTAGTTGGTTATTTTGAGGGTATAGTCTATCTACCCTATACTATTTTTCATTTAATAACTTTTATAGACTGCAACATCAATGCTATTCACGCAAAGAGGGTTACTATTCAAGAGAAGGATTCTCAATTGGCTAGGCGCTACTTTGCGCGCGAGTTACTAGCTTTTCTCTAGATTATAAGATATATCTAGATACACGTGCTTAAATGCTAGCTGGCGAAGCCTCTGTATATTATAAATGAAACTAGTTAATGCTACACTGTGTTAATCTACTGTGATACTATATAAACTTTTCTTTTATTGAAATCTATATTATACATCTTGCAATTTTTTTACTATAACCCAGCCCTAACCCATGGTCCGTGCGACCCCAACCCAACCCCAACCCAACCCTAAGCTTGGCGCTGACAAATGGGTTGGGGTTGGGTTGGGGTCGCAAAATTTCTAACCCAACCCCAACCACACCCCGACCCATTTGCCAGCGTAATTACAGTTACGCTCTAGAGAGCTACTAAGCCCGTAGTAGGCTGCTTACTTACCTTAAGTATCATGCGATAAACTTATTATTTATAAGTTAAGGTAGGAACACTTTAGTAAAGTGTTTAGAATTAAGTAAAATGTCGGATCGTGAGTATCGGTAGAGACGTCGGCTGCTTGACACTTCGGCCCGACTTCGGCCCACTTTGCACAGAGCTTAGGTATACCTTCGTAGCACCTATGTTCGTAGAGAACCAATACCAATACTAGTCACCAGAAGAACCTCGTTGTTGTTATTCACCCGTACGATCGTACAAAGCCTACCAACATAAAAAGTAGATATCTCACAACTATTCGTCTAAAAAGGAGCAAGAAGGATTTGAATCATAAAGAATATTTAAACAGGCACTAAGATGTAGGTATAGGCTTATATTAAGACGAATCCTTAAGGAGCAATTAAGGATTCAGTGAGATGCTATATACGACTATGGCACGTGACTGTGGCTGGCTCGGGCCGATGGGTCTCCGAAGGGGTCCCTGAGGCCTACCGAAGTATGACCCAGCTGGAGTATCGTGACAATTACTGTCCTGGGATATCTAATAGGTTTTTAAGCCTGTAGATTGCTGCTTAGTTATCTGCGTAGACCTTAAATTCTTGGTTAGTTGTAGCGTTCTTTGCTGCATATTCGAATGCTCGTGTAATCCCTTCTAGTTCGCCGTTGTAGACTAGCTGGTATTGTCCAATGTTGACTGTTTCTGAGTAGATCTCTTGCTGGGTTGAGTTGTAGACTGGTATCCCAACTCCTATTCCTTTTCCTTCTTGTGTTTGTGAGGCGTCTGAGTATATTGTTGTGCAATTGTCTAGCCTTGTTTTTCACTCTCGCGTTGATTCTGCGCTAATCCTACGCTGCTAGCCAAAACTGGGTTAGCCACTACCTACTTATTGCTCCAGCTCTTGTTTGTGACCCCTCTCTCTCTCTCCACACTCTGCCCTACCCCCACCAACAGCTTATCAAAATACAACCACGTGAATCAAGACTTCAGCAAAGTCAAAATGAAGCTCACCATCCTCTTTGTGGCTGCGGCTTATCTATTGACTACAAGCGCAACGGCCATCACTGCCCCCGCCGCTTCACTCGCTGTCGCGCGCGATGACACTGTCAACACTCCTGCTACACAGGCCGGCGCAGCCGTCTCCGTCAACAAAGGCGACAACGAGCCCAACTCCGACGTCCACATGGCCATTGGAGGCTGGCCTGGCGGCTCGCAGTGCGGTACTTATGGCTGCAACTACGGGGTGAACCACTGCGTCGAGGATTGTGGTAGAGGCCCGCAGTGCAAGCCTTACTGCGAGTGCAAGTTGTACAGCAACCCCAATTCTCTCTGCCGTACTCAGGGTAAGTTCCTAACTGCATTTTCGTCAAACCTTCAGCAGCTAATGGATGAACAGGCTGCGTCAAGGCTCCCAAGAACTGTGACAAGTACGACAAGAAGAAGCGTGACGTTGATGACAAGGTCGTCACGGACAACTCGGGTAAGCTTCTCACATTGTTTCCTGTAATCGAGAGAGTTAGCTCACTAACACAGACCTAGGCCCCGTCACGAAGCTGGACTGTGACAACTACGACAAGAAGAAGCGTGACATTGATGATAAGGCCATTATGGACAACTTGGGTGAGCATCTCACATTGTTTCCTGTGATCAAGAGAATTGGGTCACTAACACGGACCCAGACCCCGTCATGAAGCTGGATGTATCTGGCCCGTTCAATCCTTGCTACGAATGCAAGATGGCATACGACGTTTGCGTGAAGAAGTGCGGTCTAGGTCCGGGTTGTTCCACTATGTGCAAGTGTCAGCCCATTGGTCCAAATTCCACCTGCAAACAATGCCCGGAATTGCAATGCCTCAGTATCGTTTACAAGCTCCGCCAAGACGCCAAGATTCTGGGTGACACGTAGGGTTCGCATGGAATGGGTCTCTGGATGCATGACGCTGAAGGTATATGCCAAATCATAGGAGGAAGGCACGTTTGGATGAACCGGAATTTGGCTGGTTATTTTCGACGAAGAATCTCCAATTGCAGAGATGTATACCATCACTCTCAGACTTGGAGCAGTTAGCTTACTCAGGTCTCTCTACGATGAGGTTTCAATGAACCATGTCTAAAAAATATACTCTCCACGATTTTCTACTATTCAATATGCTCAAACAAAAACTTGATGACGTACACAACCGTAGTTGCTAAGCTGCGTGTGCTGTGCAGTTAGGCAGCTTACTAATCTCCCATCATCCTGATGTGCTGTCTACGTCACTTTGCCACTCACAGTTGTCATATTGACTGCCTCAGTAGATCTTCATCAAATCATTGATTGAGAGAAAAAAAATCGCGTTCTCATTGGTTTGTACGAGAAGAAGAGAAGCGTGGTGTTCAGACTGCTGTCCATTCTCCTAGTGCTACGGACCTTCAATGTGCAATAACAAACCACCCAGGCGCAGTTTAATCAACACGATGGTATTCGGGAATTGATTTGTACTTTGGGCAACATTCACCAGGAGTAGCCATCCTACGTATATAAGCTTTCGGCTGATGTCTCTGCCACCAAGTTAGACAAGGTGCGTAGGCCATGTTCAACAGGCTGCTGGAGCGTTCTTGTACTGCTTTGCATCGTACTGGCACGTCCTCTTTCTGAGCTCATCATGGAGGTCGGAGGATGAAGCGTCACGGGCCTGTGGTGTACGATTTCAACAAGACTATGACGGCAGGTATCGGATTAATCGCACTTGTTGATCATGTCACCGTGTCACGAATGGCTTTCGAGCATAGACGACGGTTCCTGGAAGATATGCATGGGCCCTGTAGCTTTTCAGCTCTTTGCGCATCTGCGCTAAATGTAACTGTGCCCGTGCAATGGACCACTGGGACCGATTAGTGGAGTTCCAGAAGATGTATTCATGATACTTACCCCGCCAACTTGTGTCAGTAATCGCAGCATGAAGCCTTCCACACCATCCATCAATCTCAGTTGATTCCATCTTCCAATGTTCTTCAATCTTTTATCAGTCGGCCAGCCGTTCATAGGCCACTTGTAATCGACTACGGTAACGTCGACAAACCCAGCTCTTCTCAGTCGCTCGGCGCTCTCCTCCCAGATGGTAAAAGTCTTGCCGAATCTGTCACCCATCTCGACCACAACCTTGCCCCACGTGTGATAGAAATGGTCCGGTCCCATGCTTTCGTCATCGGCTATAGGACATACAGAATGCTCGACAATCTCGATCCAGCCTCCGGGTTTGGTGTGTTGATATGCTTGTGCAAAGAAGAAGTCCCAATCTGGAATGCAACCGAAAAGCTCGCGGATATGTATGAAGTCGAAGTGGTTGGGCGGAAATGTCCAGTCCTGAGACACGTCGTCGATCTCGAAATGGCAGTTGGGAGGCACCCACTCTGGTTGTATTGGAGAGAGGTCGGTGCCGGTAACGATCGCAGATGGGTACTGGTCAGCCATGTCCTAGTGTTATTAGTCTTTGCTGCTGCGGAGGTAGTAGCATTCGTACAATGGCCCAGATGCCAGTCCCCGTGCCGCAGTCCAGAATTGTCTGTGGATTCTGCAAAGGTGCAAGATGCAGCTTCTGGTCGAGAGTCAAGAGATACATGTGGTGGGCAAAGTCCAATATCTCCTTGGCCAGCTCATCGTTGGGTCCCCAGTAGGACCCGTCTCGGTAGGCATGGTACTGTCGCCCATTCTCCATGCGGTGGTTGAGGATTGACGAGGCCAGCGAGTCGGTTTCATCACCGAGAAGGCTCCCGCTGTCAAAGCCCGAGTCGGACGAAAAGCCTTGGTCCTGCTCACTCTCCAACGACGAGGGCTCGGAATTGAGCGACGTATTTTGAGGTGTGGGGCCTGATTGCGAGTGTGAGGATTGCGAGTGTGAGGATTGCGAGGCGTCGTGCAAGTGCACGGCGCTGTCCTGTTGGATGTGCATACTGATAGTCTGGGATGACTTGTATTGAGTTGGCGAGGCCATGACTATGGGAATTGCGAGCACGGCAGATTGTGGTGGAGATGTGGTCCCCGGCCGACACGCCAGGGCTTCACATGTCGCCAATGAGCTCGAAACGGGCTGGTGCAGACTTTCGTTTGTCTTTTGCAGCCATGTCAATGGGCGAGGGGTCTGGCGGAAAGTGGATGAGGCCCGCTGTGGCGCCAGGTTCGCGCGACACATCCTCGAAGCGATCTTGCGGATCCGTCTGTTGCTCCGGCCGCTGCAATTCGTGCCATTGCTGATAAACACACGGCCGAGCGATGGCGCAACCTGCTTCCAAAAAAAGAAAAGAAAAAGCCCCAGCCTTGACCAGCGAGGGCCCGTCGGGGGTCTTGATGCCGACGGTATACGAATCAGAGTGGGCTTTCCAGACGTTGCACCGGGGTAAAGTTGGCGCTGGTAGCTGCACACTAGGTATCTAGGCAATTAGTGCGAATGCAGCCGTAGTCGCATAGTGATTAGTGATGGCATCTGGCATGGTGAAAAGTGTGCTGCTGCTAGGGCCCGTTGAAGTGGAGGGGCAAGCAACGCCAACGTGGAGACTGCCAACTCTGTAGGCAGATGCAGACGGACGGAGCTGAAGGTGTAGGGTGAATTAACACGCCGGAGTCTATTCCTCTGCATCTGCATCTGTCATTTGCGTAACGTCCATCATCCCAAGCTGCTATGGAAAAATTAACTGCCGGTGGCACAGCGGCCGCGCCGCCGCATCGGCCCGTGCTCATCATTGGCTCTGGTACGCCATGGCTTCGCGCCGCGTCTATGAGCACACTTCCCACTCACTGATTCACAGGCACCACCGGCCTCGCCCTCGCACAGGGCCTGCGCAAGGTACGTACATGACCGAGTCGTGCCTCATGTCGTGATTCCATCTCATCTCCTTGTCGTCTGACAAACATCAGGCGGGGATCGCATGTATTGTCTTCGAAAAGAACACCGCAAAACATGGAGGCCGAGACTGGAACATGGGCCTTCACTGGGGCGCATCTGCCCTTGAGCCTCTCCTGCCTGACGGCTGGTGGGACCGCATCCAGAGCGTCCAGGTCGATCCAAATGTGCCAACAAAAGAGCTGGATACCATGAAATGGTTGCGAGGAGATACAGGCGAGCTCGCCATGTCTTTTGACCTTGGGCCATTTTATCGCTTGCGGAGGAGTAAGCTGCGGGACTTGCTCTCACAAGGCCTAAACATGCAGTACGATAAGCGCCTACAGGACATTTCATATGCAGACAATGGCCAGTCCGTTACCGCCCATTTCGCTGACGGATCCGCCGTTACTGGGAGCATGTTAGTGGGCGCTGACGGCGCTCGCTCCTCAACGCGCCAGATGCTGCTGGGCCGCGAATTGGGCTCCATCAACCACCTACCATACGCCGCCACTTTTGTACAAAGCAAATTTCCTGTCGAGCAGGCTTTGTATCTTAGATCATTCCATCCGCTATACCTAGGCTGTGTGCATCCAAACAATAACTTTGGCTTCTTTGGAATGCACGACGCGTCCAACGCCGAGGACCCTTCGTCATGGACTTTCTTCTTCTACATCTCATGGCCGAGTAGCCTCGAAGAGCAGGAGGCAACCAAGGACTGGTCGCCTTCTCAACGGCTCACGCAGCAAAAAGAATTTGCCAAAGCTTTCTGCGACCCTTGGAAGAGTGCACTTGAATGGACTCCAGAAGGTACACCAGTATGGTATCTTGGACTGACAGACTGGGATCCTGCCTTGCCTGGCCATCGGTGGGATAACCATGACGGCCTTGTTACCATGGTCGGGGACGCCGTTCATCCTATGACATTTCAGCGTGGCCAGGGTCTCAACCATTCGGTGACCGACGCGGAGAAGCTTTGTCAAGCAATCGCTAAAATTAAGGCGGGCGAAGATAGACGGGCCATGATAGATGAGTTTGAGGAAGAGATGATCAAGCGTGGAGGGACAGAGGTCAGGGAGGGCACTGCGAATACGGTGAGGCTACACGATTGGGAGCGCGTCAGGGAAAGTCCGCTCTTCAAAAATGGCATGAAAAAAGTGGATGCTTGAGCCTTTGCAGTGCCTGACATCGCACTCGTAAGGATATAGATCTGAACATGTAAATGACACTTGTATATAGTTTGTCAGATGTTTAGTCTGTCTGTTGGTATAACTTTAGAGTGGAGATTAGCGTTATCTCCGGTGGACCCCTCAGCTATGTGCCTCGGATAACCTTGTCCACAAACCCTGACGTTGACGACCCTCGGTCCTGGGCTTTGGATGCACTCCCTGCAATCTTCACAATGTCTACCTGCACCCTTCTGCATATCATCTTTGTTTCTTCTTTTCCAGATTGAATATTGCGACGCAGACTCACTCACGTGTTCATTCACAGCGCATCCATCTTATCCTGTTGCACAAGCATAATGACCTCACCAAATGAATTCCATGGCTGGCTGGGCCACGACAAGACAGCCGCCCAAGGAAACATGACATGGTCCTCTTTCCAACCCAAACCCTTCAACGACATCGATGTCGACATCAAGGTATCCCATTGTGGCATCTGCGGCAGCGACGTTCACACGCTACGGTCGGGATGGGGCGCAACCCATTATCCTATCTGTGTCGGACACGAGATTGTCGGAAATGTTGTGAGGGTCGGAGACAAAGTGGAGCACCTCACACTGGGCGAGAGGGTAGGTGTCGGCGCGCAAGCCTTTAGCTGTCTTAAGGAGGATTGTGAAGAGTGCAGCGCTGGCCTGGAACAGCATTGTCCGAAGATGGTGGGCACGTACGGTTCGAAATATCCAGGTGGCAGCTGGAGCATGGGTGGCTATGCAGACTATGTTCGAGTGCCAGCTCACTTCGCTATAAAGATCCCAGCAGGATTGAGGAGCGAAGACGCAGCCCCAATGATGTGCGGAGGCATCACGGTGTATTCGCCTCTAAAGAACAACGGAGCAGGACCGGGGAAGAAAGTCGGGGTCGTGGGCCTAGGTGGGCTTGGCCATTTTGGTGTCTTGTTCGCAAAAGCTTTAGGTTGTGACAAGGTCGTAGCCATCAGCCGGCGGAGAAACAAAGCCGACGACGCAAAAGCTATGGGTGCCACAGACTACATAGCGACATCAGAAGACGAGAAGTGGGCTCGTCAACATTCTCGGACCCTCGATATCATCATTAGTACTGTCTCCTCTCCAGATATGCCTCTTGAGTCCTACTTACGACTTTTGCGCACGGGTGGCGTCTTTATTCAGGTCGGTGCACCGGAGGACAAGCTACCGCAGATTTCCGCGTTCGGTCTCATTGCCAAAGGCTGTAAGATAGGAGGCAGTCAAATCGGCAGTCCGAAAGAAATTGATGAGATGCTCAAGTTTGCGGCGGAGAATGGAGTAAAGCCATGGGTTCAAAAGGAAAACATGAAAGACGCCAACAAGGCGATCGTCAATATGGAGGATGGCCATGCGCGGTATCGTTACGTGCTTGTACATACAGATATGGCCGATAGAGCGAAAATGTAAAGGCGCTAATAATCAGCCAGCCATGTCTCCCCGCAAGGTCTTGCATCCGTGGTAATACAAGTCTCTGACGCATTACGGAATAGGAAGCGCGAAGATCATGTCGAAAGTCTCGACATTGAGCATGTTGCTGTTGTGTGACGCGTACGTTGGTTGGCAGGTTGTCTGACGTAGTGAACCAGCTCGCCTACATCTTTCACATGCGGCTTACACGTATTGGGCCTCAAGAACATTTTTTTATAATTACTTATTATTGTCATTTGTCGAGTTTGATATTTACCTAGTTACACAGAGGTGTTCCCATCCAAGCCCGAGACCCTTAGCGAATTCACTCGTTTCATTGCTGATCGCAACGCCAGCGTTGCCACGCTACCATATTGATTATACAGATTACATTGTGAACGCTCTATGCTATCGATTAGGTTACACGCGATCATGAATCTCTTCTTCACTTAAAATCTACCGCTCTAGTTCAACGATTCGTTCTATTCCACTTATTCCGGCCGCCTACTCAACCACAGTTCATTCTACCTCTCAACCAAGCTTTGAACCGCGCATACTTCGAACCTCTGCGCTGCACCCAACTCTTTCCAAATGTCTTGGCTTATTAAGAAAACCCCAAAGACAAGCATCGCCGGTATGAATCTTACGCGAGAGAAGGCACAGAATTTAGTCGATATATGGCAATGGCTTGAAGATGATCTACACAAGCAAATCACAGACATCGACGCCTTCCCAAGCATCACAGGAACTGGTTCCTTCCATGCGCTCAGCCAAATCCAACAGCGCCATTCTCAGATAACTAAACGAATTGAGGATCTGAATCTCTGCATCCCGACATCGGCAGACTCATGGCCAAAGGAGTTATATGATGCAAAGGCTAGCATGGCGCGCAAAGTTAAGGTCTGTAACGATAAGTCTCGACCATTCTCACTAGGATGGAAACAGGCCGCGAAGCAGTTCTGGCCACTTATTGCAGAGACATATACACTCATCCTTGAGCTGATTGGTCGTCTCAAGCAAGAGCTGCGCACCGCTTTGGAAGACGAAAAGACATGGACAGAAACCAAGGCGAACAAACTTCTACGGCGTGCCAGTGTCCAGTCTATCCTGAGTCCCCCCTCCACATCCAACACAGACATGAAACATGTTGTTTTTGACAAGAAGGTCACAGTTCGATATTGTAACATCGGTGAAGCATTGAACGAGGATGATGAAGGCCATGTCGCCTATGGTGCTGCACGTAAAATCGACGAGTTTACCACGAACCTGAAGAACGATAAGAAGAATACGGCGGGCAAGTACAAACGCCGAGCTTTGTTTGATCGTGCGACTCGCCCAGGGTCGGCGGATACGGCGGACGAGGTGGTACAAGAAGAGGTCTCGGAGAATACGCCACAGGATTCCGTCGCATAGGCGCATTATCCAGATTGAGAAGTGATGGGATGGCGTTTAGTTTTCAAGATGCGGATCGTGTAAACCTGATTTTTTTTGTTGGATTTTTAGAGATAGATAGCAATGCGAGCGCGTTAAGCTTACGATACTTACTTTCAAGGAAGTTACTATGCAAAGTATGAGATTTGAGTAAAGATTCCACAACCCTAGTAGAACCCTATCAGAAAGATGTATACACTAAAGGGAGCTGTAGGTAGAGATAAGATATAGAGGCCTATACACTCTAGGTTGCTTACTACTAACTAGAAACATGTGGTTGAAAGATGAAAACGCGGCCAATGGTAAAATATCGTAATGAGTTCGCAAAGATCAAATTTATGCCTGCTTCTAGCGCAAGTTAATGAATAGAGCCTTTCACCACAAACTATAAAACATCGCACCGATCACGTATTCAACCCTAGTACGACGCCAGAAGAGGTGTGCCAAATCGTTCTACATGATGTGTGGACCTCAAGGTTGTTCGTAGTTCTCCAGATTTTCAAAGAATCCGGTAATCTGTCCCCGCCAAGTTCTAGTTCCGAGGCCTGTTTAACAGAACTCAGTTATCCTATCCAAATTCAGAGACTGCAGATCAAAAATTTACAATCATAAGTATGATGATTACCTCCCTCTGTAGTACCACAGTACACATACTTGAGGCACCAGACTGGAGACCCATCGATTACAAGATCTTGGCAGGTCTACCATGTTATTTCAATCTCAATTGCCTGACATTACCACTTCTCTTCTCCGTTGACTAAGCTCCCGGTCACCCCCTTGTAATTAATCTTTCACAAAGCCTTATACCCTCCTTTTTCTCTGCATCGAACCGTAGCATGAACCTTTGTCGGCTTATTGAACCAGTAATTACGCGTCTCCCACTCCTTCTCCGGGTGTGGAAGTTCCAAGTCGAACGAGCGAAGAAGCTGCGGAATGACTTTGTATATCTCACACAGTGATATCTGTCTTCGCTTAAGCCTATGTATAGAACAATCTGCAGAATACAACTTACATTCTTTCCGATGCATGTCCTAGAGCCCCCGCCAAACTGTAATTTGTGTCAACAGTGCTTGTAGACTATCAAACACAGGATATCTTACCTGGAACATGTAACGCTCCATTTTCGACGCCTGTGGCCCGAGCCATCGTTCCGGAACAAAGGCGTCGGCATCGTTACCGAAGATGCTCTTGTCGCGTTGTACTACCGCAGCGTTCACACCAACACGCGTACCCTCGGGGAACCATGCTCCAGCGATCATACAACCACCTCGCGGAACATGACGCGGAAGTGTCATACCAACACTTGGGTGTAATCGCATGCCTTCTTTGCAGCAAGCAATGAAATAGGGTAGCCCAACAGCCTCGTGATATTGTATTATCGGACTCAGTAGCCCGGCCTGCGAAGCTTCGTCGATTTCGGTAGTGAGCTTTGCGTATGCTGATGGGGTGCGCATGAGGTGGTAAACTATAGCCGTGATCGCAGCCGCGGTTGTATCTGATCCGGCAATGCTGTGTTCTGTCAGCCTTATTGTCACATGTGCCAATACGGCGTGGGTCATACAAAGCGCCGTAAACCTCCATCTTCACTTCAGTGATGCCGAAATCCTTCTGCCTTCCCTTGTTTTGCATGATTCTGAAGAAACTCTGCAACATATCTTCTTTCTCATCGGCCTCCCCGCTCTCAATCAGACGCTGTCTGTCAGCAACGCATGATTCCGATGCGTTCTCAATGTGCTTCAACGCTTTCAAAGCCTGGAAAACCCGAGGTATCATCGCTCCACTGATGAGGACTAGGGGCCTCAAGAAGGCTGGGGAAGCACAAGCGACGGCGATGAAGGGAATTAGTAGATCCAGAGCGTGGATATTGCCGCCGTGGTCATAAGCACCTTCCAGGAATCCAAACATCCGGCTGAAGAACAACTCGCCGATGACGTCAAAAGAATACCACTGGAACCACTGCGAAATGTCGATAGCAGTAGTTCTTGTCGCACTCTCAGCAAGCTTCTCCATGAGCATCTGCACACATTTGTCCACACTGTCCTCCAACTGTATGATATTCGACATTGAGTAGACTTGGTTAACGATTCTACGTCTCTCAGCGTGCTGGCGCTCATCGAGGTTGGTGAACGCATCCGGATATTTGCCCCAAGTAGCACGGAAAGGAAGATAGAAGTCAGTCTAGCATTTGTTAGCAGTGGATAAGAGGACCATGCTACACCACAGGTCTCACCTTGACAAATCCAGAATGAGATGAATATATGGTCCGGATAGCCTCTGGGTCTGCTACTGCTATCTCATTTGGAGCTATCCGAACAATAGGTCCATATCTCTGATGAAGGCGTCTCTGCATCTTGTCTGGGCTGCCTCCTGCAACATTGATGATGTGCCAAAGACGAGTAATAGATGCCAAGAAGGGTCCTGGGTATTGGGACAACGAATGGACATATCTAGCATATACTATCCACGCCAGACATGATGCTATCAGCAGAAAAGAGAGTAACGAAAGAGCAGGTACCCCTTCCGAGAGATTACATCTGTTCAAAATCATAATGAAGAATATACGGAACAAAAAAGATACGAGAGTCCTGGGAAGACCTGATTTAGGTGAAGACTATTGGAGCACCAAAAGGTTGCCATGAGTAACGTTACTCTTATACCACTCATACGGGTTTCAACTAGTTTCCAAGTGATTTGATCTATGTGTCGCCTATATAAGCAGACTGATAACCGTGTGAGTCCTCCGCGGGTGATGTGGGGGCCAAGGGTGAGCCTGACCGGCATCAACAGAGCAGCGCCTCATCTCTACACTGTGACTCGTTGTTTGTGCAGCTCAATCAGATTGTGAAGAACTGGCTGCACTTCTGATTCAGGGTACATGTGGAACAAGCGAAAGCGCACCCATTGCTTGTGGCACATAGCGTACCGAAGCGCTACGGTTGCCCAAATCCAAGTTTATCCCGCCTCTTAACCTTTTCTGGTGAATGGAGCTGCTTTTCTCGAGCAGTTGATAGTTCAAAACTCTGATCTATAGGTCAATTGCGAAAGTGCTTCATGTTGTCTCGCTTGCTTTGGGTAATCGTTGTATTTGCAACCGACGTGTCTATCGTAAGCCCGAGAGGCTACGTTGCTTTACTGAGCTAATGATAGTGCACTTTTCGAAATCGAGAAAATGAGGCATGGTAGGCAGCCAGGCAGCCTTCATTGAACTGCCACCTACCAGGACTCACTTCTCTCATTTGCCACTGTTGGAGCATTTGCTGACATCAGCAGAACCCACAATCAAGCCGTGGGGCGCATGTATAGCACATGGTAATCATGGGTATGCATTATGGCTCGTATTCGCGACCATAGGCAGCAGGTCTAATTGAGTAACAAAGAAAGCGATATACTCTCTAGAGGTGTGTACGGCGCGGCAGCGTTCAAAGGGCTGCGGAAATTCAACGAGCCTTGTATTCCGGTACCGATGCGGCGTATCCGCGCCATATGACTCATCGAGATTCGAAAGGTGGCGCTATACCAGACAGGCCGGATATGCGGCAGGGCGCACGATGTTGGTGATGTCGTTTGGGGTTTGACGATGCTCTCCAAGGTCCCGCTTCTACAGTATGAGCCCAAAGCTTAACCCATCTAAGGCTTAGCTTACAATGTTAGTCAGCAACTTCATCTTGTACATACCCGAGGTGACATTCATGCTTTTCCGTGCGCACACCGCAGTGTCCGTCGATATAAAACCCACTCGCTGCACCTCCAATCTGGCCAAATTGTGCAGGTGACAATGAAGAAGTTTCCACCTGGCCTCCACCAGAAACTGCACACCATGTCGCATCCGCGGATACTTTTCCGAAGCAGCTTGACTCAGATATCACGGCCATCTCTACGATACAAGTGTTATGAAGCTACGGCTCTTCAGTTTCAATCAAGTCTTCATCATCGCCGCGCCTTCTCAACTACAAAGTCTATGGCCACCACTCAAGAGCAGAAAGACTGGTCTGCAAACCAATATCTCAAGTTCAACAATGAGCGCACTCGCCCCGTCTACGACTTGCTATCGCAAGTCATCCCACACCTATCCTCATTCCCCAATCCCCGCATCTACGACCTAGGCTGCGGCCCCGGAAACTCTACCAAAGTCATCCTCGACGCTTTCCCCACCGCCCGCATCACCGGCATGGATAGTTCGGCCGACATGCTAAAGAAAGCCAGTGCCTCCCTTCCAAGCGTCGAGTTTGTAACAGGAGACCTAGCCACCTTCAAAGTCGACCAAAAAGCCAATCTGCTGTTCAGCAACGCCGTGTTCCACTGGCTGAGGCACAGCAACAGGATCCCCACGCTGGTGACACTATTCCAGGGTCTGAGCACAGGAGGCGTGGTAGCAATACAGGTTCCTGATAACTACAATGAGCCTTCCCACGCGCTTATGCGCGTTACTGCTTCCCTTCCCGACAAGCCCTGGGCACCATTCTTCAAGGACACGAAGATTGGAGATTTGGCAGATGAGGAGCGACCAGATCTGGATCCGATCCAACCGCCAACTGAATTTTACAACGCGCTGATTCCGCACGCCGGGGGTGTTAATGTGTGGCGAACGATGTATCATCATGTACTCAAAGATGCGAGGGCGATTGTGGAGTGGGTGAAAGGGACGGGATTACAGCCGTACCTGAACAGGATTGAAGACGAAGCAACGAAGCAGGCCTTCTTGGGAGAGTACGAGAGGAGGCTGGAGGAAGCGTATCCAAAGATGGCTGATGGGAATGTTCTCTTGGTGTATCCAAGGTTGTTCATCGTTGCTGTGAGAAAGTGAAGGAGTCTAAGAAAAACCACAACTATAGCTTCAGGCAAATCAGTCAATGTTAATAAGCCTCACATGTGATTATAGGGAAGTCCATAACTATTTCTAGCACAGCTTTCTACACATTAACACCACTTTACTATCTGTTACTAATCTCACACATACCCGCCGCAGCTTTGCAACAAAAGTCTTGCTGGCGTGGCGTCTCCCTACTCCCACTTATAGCCTCCGGTCGACTGTTTAGTCTCTCGCTCCTTCCATGCTCCTCTACCACATCACACCGCCATAAAAAGCAATGCCAAGGATCGTAGATGGCACATGTGATCAATTACCCAGAAAACGCCATTATCAATGCTTGCTCAAAATCCCCGTCAAAATGTTTGGCATGAAGAGTCCAGCGCGAACAAGAGAAGGGCAGACAATGCCGTGTCGAAAAAGGTGTCTCGTCAAACTAATGCTAAGCCCGATGCGTGAAGATGATGAAACTGGACCATTCTACATGTTCATGACGTAGGGTTCTGGTCCAGGGGTATAGAATAGAGTATCGACGCTTTTTCGCCCAAGCCCGTGAAAATGGTAGAGAGAGAACAAACGCCCAAATTACTCCAGTATGGACCCAAAAAGAGTGTGTGAGTTATCGTGTCTCATCCGGCACCTGCGGTGCCAATTTGTGTATGTTTTTGGAAGCCCGGTGAGCGGTAGCTGTGCCGATGAGGCGACGCAGTCCGATGGCTCTCTGCCGAAGCTTGTGGATTCGGGCCATATGCAGCGTTGGGCGTGCCCCGGTCGTATCCTTGTCCGGGACTCTGTTGATTGTTAGCAGGCCCCGAAGGAAGTCCGCCTGCTTGACGAGCATGCGTCTCGCCCGCTTGTGCCGAAGGATTGTTGTCGGCTGTTGTTATTTGAGGCGCATTGCGCTGATCTTTCCTAGATGCAGTACCTGCTTGCTCCCTGGGTCCAGCAGGAGGGGCAGACAGAGGGTTTTTACCCCGCTGCTCCCATTGTCGCATGATTTCTTTTGCGCTCATATCCGATACCTCATCGCTCAGCAGTTCCATGATCTCTGGGGGCACCTGGGTAGAGTTAGAAGTAAGAAGTAAAAAGCACATGGATAACATACCTCTGAGAACTCATCGTTGTTCTCTATGAGATCAAACACCACTTTGACAGCGCCTTGATCCACACTCTTGACTTCTTTGTCGTTGCTCTCTCTCAAAATGTTTGGGGCCATGACGGTGGCGATGTTCCAGGTGTCCATCTTGTTGCCAGTCTCCTCGTCCACAGTATGGAACGAAGAGACCCAGTTGAGGAAGCAGAACAAGACCTCCATTGTATCGCGATGAGCTTTGGGCAGCAGACACAGCACCAAGTGCAAAACCTTCTTTCTTTGCGCCTCATCTTCAATGTCTACTTTTGTTAGCAGGCGTCTGTCATAGTCATCGAGGTACTCACCATTTGCGACCATGAACAGTCTGTAGAGTTTCAACGTCAAGACAGGCTCAGGCATCAGCCGGAGAAAACGTTTGAGAAGGTTGGCAAGGATAACCGGGTTCTTCGTGTTTAGGTCAACCTTCTGAACCCCATTTGCGTCGATCTCTTCCTCAAGTTCACGGAGCGCTTTGAGGTTGCCATTCTTCCTGAAGACACCCTCAATAGACATGTCCATGTTTCTCATGGCTGTAATGCACTCCTGGAGAAGAGCAGGTACTTTGAGAGCACCCGGTCCTACACCCTCTGTACACTCGTCACCGTACTTCTCTACTAGGTATTCGAGCGATTGTCGGAAAGTTGCTTTGTCTGAAACGGGCTTCTCGACTCCTGACGGCACGCCTTTCTTTGGCTTGGTTTTGTCAGCTTTGAAAGCCTTGCCAAACCCAATCTTGCCCCAAAAGTTGTTCTTCTTTGACTCTATGAGGTCTAAAAGCTCGCCTTGGTTGTACTGGCTATCGTCAAGTAAAAGTCCAAGCTGGAGGACGGCTAGACCCTTGAGTTTGAAGTACTCAAGTGGCGATAGCTCGGAGAAGAATGTCCGGGAGCGACCTTCTGACATGATTTGTAAATCCTGAGCTCCAGAGAAATCCCGACGATGGCCGTTTTGGAGTCGGGGTTGATCATCGCGGCCAAGAAGCGCGCTTCCACCTGCACGGAATGCGTTTGGACGCTGCTCTCGCTGTTGCTCCAGGGCGGCCATACGGGCGATGTCATCCAACGCAAGCGAATTGACGGCGAGGGTCACGGCGTCGGCCTGGTTGGACCCGTCGCCCTCCTGGACGATTTGCATGCCACCTCGGAGCTGCCCTTCCCCACCAGCTGAATCAAGACCCTCGGGACCGTCGATAATCCGCGATGCGCGTGCGCGCTTCATTGTATTCGAGAGGTGTTTGTCGAGCCGCGTCGATCGCAAACGCTTAATGTCGGACATGGACTGCTCATACGCAGCATTTGCACTCTGCTGACTATCAGTCGTCGAGGTGCCGCCATATGATTTTGAGCGCGTATCTCCTCGCAGATGCAGTGGTTCGTCCCCGAGGCGATGACCTTGCGAAGAATCATAGCCGGCCAGGTTAGGATCATCTACAAGTCATTAGTGGGACGAATGTAATCTCGGAAACGGCTCCAGAAATCTGAGTCAGGGTGTCAAGATGAGTGGTGACGATGTGATCTACCGAGGAGAGGTTATTCTTACCTGAGGTGTGAGGTAGCGCGCCACTGGATCGCAGGGTCGCCATGAGACGAGCATGAGCTACGTTGAGCAAGTGTACGTATTGACGTAGTTTTGTGATTTGCTCGAAGCCGTTCTCCGCATCCGACTGGGCTGCTGCACAGGCGGGACAGTAGATGCCCCGTTTAGTCTTACTCCAATAAGCGTTGCGAGTATCGTGACGCAAGTCGGCATTGCAGCCGCGACAGACCATACAACTATAGTTGAATGACATGTGATTCAGGTGTAAACATTTGTCTTCGACCTGGGCATCGCATATGGGACATGCATCTGCCCATCTTGGGACCAGTCGGGCAGACTCAGCTGCCTGGTCCCTTTGGGCCTCATCCTCCAGTCGTGCATCAAGTGAATTAACTTGGGTGAGAAAATTGGTCAAACCAGTAGAGCTGCGGGTTTCGCGCTCTAACTTTAGAGCACCCTGCAGGCAGATGCGAATCAGCAGCTTTAGGTAGTGCGCAAGTCCGGTAACCAGGGACAACAACTCTTGGGTCACGCCCAGCCGACGCACGCCCGTACCTTGGGACTGCGTGAGCAGGGCAAAGAAAGCGACCACCTTCTTACAGAGCAGCTTTGATTCGCGCGAATACGTCAATCCCTTGGGCGTCCTGATGACCAGCTGCGCGTCGAGTGCGTCTGCAGCCGCAAATAGCAGCTCCACATGCACGATGAACTTCTTCGCTGCCATGACACCGTCAACGTAAGCTCCATTACTCACATGCAGCAGCATGTCGGAGATGCAGGTGGCCGATTTCTCTTCGAAAGCCGATAATGTCTTCCAAATCCAATTGACCTTGGCTTCAATCTCTTCCTCCTGCTGACGCACGCTCTCGCGCACATCGTCTGTTGCATCGGTGTCGGCTTCCTGCTGCAGGCGTTCGATGATTGGCTGGCCAGTTGAGTGCAACCGCACATTCCAGTATTTATGGATCATGTAACATTCCGGATGCCAATGCTGGTTCTGCCCATTTCGGAAGATCTCGACAAACTGTTTTAAAATGGAGGTTTGGCAGCCATTACACCGTTGGGCGAATTTTGTGGAGTAGTGGTAGTGGCAGTAGACACTTCCTTCATGCTCGTAGTAGCTGTCCGAGGCACCAAAAACGGTAGGACACACGGAACAGGTGAAGTGCTCAATGTGGTATTTCCGGTCGAGCGCTGTAATGTAGGAGCCACGGAGGGCCTGTCCACACTCAAAGCAGAGCAGGTCAAGGCGGCGGAAGTAGTCCGTCTCGCATAGCGGGTATTGGCCGGGTGGCTTTTCAGGTACGGGAAAGAATTTCGAGGCAACGATTTTGCTGCAGTCCTGCAAGAAAGCGTCAGTGCATGTGTTGAAAGTGAAGTGACATGTAGGGAGATTTGGTGGGCCAAAACATGGCTAGCGGTTAACCGGCATGCCGTAGTCGACCAACTCTCACATGTACCACGACATGACCGCTAGATGGCGCTCGTATGACAGGGAAACTTTGAAAGGAGTTGGGAGTCTTACGTGACAGGTAAAGCATTCCAAATGATAAGTATCGCCTAGAGCCCGCACGAACTGGCCGGTGAGACCCTCGCCACATTTGCCACATATCTTCCCGCTGCGCTTCGGCTTTGGTGCATGATGATGGTGCTCTCCTGGGTCGGTCGAGGATCGCGTAGGATGGTTTGTGTGGTTGTGAGGCGCAAGATTGTTCGAGGCGAGGGTTGCCTCATCTGTGGCGCGCCTGGGCAGACCATTGCTGCGCGGGTCGTAATTGTACTGCTGCTGGACTCCCTGAGAGTCCATCGGAGGCGGTCCCTCCGCCGGTGTTCCCATGTCCGGTTACGCCAGGTTTGAGCGTCGACGGCTACCAGGCGGGATGCGCGATGGATTCGTGCCGAGGCCGAGGGCAACGGGTGGGCGCGTGACGGACAGGCGGTGACAGCAACGGACGACGTTCCAATGGCCTCTATCGCGATGGCGTCGTGTGCTGTTGTAGGCGGTGCCGAAAGCGGGAGAGGGTTTTGACGCGGTCAATCTAGCCAGGCAGGTCGGTAATGGTATGAGGAACTATTGGGTGCGCTGGCGATGGCGATGGCGCTCTGTCCTGCGATGCGCAACCTCGTCGGGCGTGCGTGGGCAAAGGTGGAGTAGAGTATATGTACAGCCGTCGCAATCGAGGGTTGGACGGCATGCGGTCGCCGCGGAGGAGAGAAGGGCGGACAGTGAATTGGGCCCAGCGATGCTATGGGGGGTATAGAACTAGGACCCTGATGCGATGGATGAAACGCTTGCTCGCAGCTAACGAGATGGACCGGCTTGAGGTGGGCAACTCGCAGCAGCGCAAGCAAAACTCTGGGCGCGGCAAAATTCGCAGGAGGCGTCTTGGGGGAGCGAGGCGGGAGGTTGTTTCCTGTGTCACTGGAGGCCGTGGTCCATGTTGGAGAGTGGACGCTGTCCGTGACCAGCGACTAGGCCGCTTTGGTGCAGACCTTCATTGCGATGCACAACACTCAGATGGCCGGCTGCGCCCCTGGGAAAGAAACAAATCACAAATCACACTGACGTTCTCGGTTGTGAAAACTGTGTACCGTGTACTGCATATAGCCTACTGTGTACTGCACCACGTCGCCAGCAGACATGCAATCCCCATGCATCATGGCAAGCGGGTGAAAGACCCCTTGAGGCTTGAGCTTAATTTAGCCCCCTCCTCGACGAAGACAGCAGCCGGCATTAGCAGTCCGTTATGCACAGGATCTACTTTCCGATGCAGGTGTGGCTGGATGTGCATCGTGGTACTGTAGCCGTGCTTCTTTTATTTTCACTCTGAACAGGCCCACGCTATCATTTCAACGCCCGGCCCCTGGCCCAGTTGCGCATAGGCATAAGCATTGCTCACACTCACACTCACACTCACACTCACACTCACACTCACACTCACCAGCCAGAAGCCCCCCAACGCCGCCCGACAAGAGTCGGCGCGCGCAGAGAGCAGAGCGGGGAAGCAAGCCAGGCCCGCCGACAAGGTTCATGGCTGTCCCGCCTAGCGCCCTCAAGAGCCTTGGCATCCGAGGTCGGGTCGCGACTTCCTTCACCACCAGGTGCACTTTTGCACGTCCAAGGCGCGTTGCTGCACCTGCCTCTTACTTTTGTCCCACGTAAACAAAGATACGCTTTCTCAATAGCAGGTCCAAGTACTGGAAGTGCTGTTGAAGGATCCAAACAAGACGAATAAAGGATTCTGATTACTCTGCCGCACTTGACTACTACACCGCACCACATCTCATTCCACTCTACTTCTCTTCTCTTCACTGCGCCTACGTGACAACCACCCCCACCATGGAAGGAGAAGACACTGCGCCGCCTCAGAGGCACGAGCCTCCCGTCTTCAAGGCCCCGCGTCTTGTCTCGCGCCCAAAGCCCCCGGCGCAGCAGGAAGAAGAGATTGGCTCCGAGATCAAGCTGGGCGATTTTGAAGATGTCCACGCCCTTTCCGTCTCCGAGGCCCGCGCCGTCGTCACAGCCGTCCACGAGGCGCGCAAGAAGAAGGACCCCGAGAACAACCCACTGCGCGACAGAATACACAACGACAGCGGGTGAGTCGCCCCAGTGCAGCCATTGTTCGCGAACCACGGCTGACTGGCACAGGGTCATCGCCTCCTTCCTCGACTACCTCGACAACTTTGCGCGCTACAAGGAGGAAGACAGTCTGCACTCCATTGCCGCCCTCTTCGACGCCCACCCCGAGATCTCCGTTGTCGAGAAGGCGCTGCTGGGTAACACACGCAGCGGAAACAAGACAAGGAAGGAGCTACTGACCACTTCCTAGGCACACTTACCCCCGATACCGCCGAGGAAGCCACTACCCTCATTCCCTCGCTCAAGATGGACGAGGACGAGCTCCAGTTGATTCTCGATGAGCTGAATAAAATGCGTGAGTTGGAAAAAGCTGAGAGCTTAGCCAAGGGTTAAATGAAGCTGACTTCTCGGACAGAGGATCGGCTTCGATAATACTGAGCTGGAATCCCTGGACTACGGCAGGCACCCCCGGACGACATGCAATCGCGACTTCTCAACGACCAACGAGCAACAGCGACCCACCCATCAACCCCGCTGGCAGTCACCATGGCGGATACTTACTATGCTACATACAGCCTCAAAAGCAGGACCGGCTCTCCACTCTGTGCACATTCGGTGCAGAATTTGGATTTAATAACTTTTGGATTCTAGCTCTAGTCTTACAAAACGGGTATACGACATGGCGGTCGAAAATGATCCATCGATACATTGGGTAACTATCCTTTGAGTGATCAGTATTTTGGGAATCAAATTGATAGTTTGCATGTCATCAAACCGTCGGACTCTATGAGTTTCACCTTCATGAACAGCCACGCTATCAGTGAATTTGAATCCAACTTGACCTTACCACCTGGAGGCCAGGATATCGTCAACGTGAATGACCCATGAATGACGTAGACGCCTGAAGAATTTGCTAATACATCCGCTCTTTCCCAAAGCACCTTCGCGTGTCACAAAGCCCTGACAAAGGCTCCGCACAATCACTTCCCACGTTTATAACCTACTTCTCACCACTATCACCACCACCACCACCACGCGTACGAAAGTCTTATCTCTTTACCAGTACCACGGAAACCGTTCTTGGCGTACCAAACTGAAGAATCATCCATTACATTACTTTAACGAGAGCTCTCCGGAGCTTTTTCGACTTTTGTCTCACCACGCGTACAAATCCACACACATTTGAATATTTCTAGCGCTCGCTCGCAACCAACCGCCTCCCGCTACAGTCTCACAACATCGTGTATCAAACGCAGCGATCAGTACCCATATCATTTTTCGAGTGCCTGACTTGGTCAACTCTACTTCCTGCGAGCCACACGACAGAACCGTTAACTTCATACCCTACTGCAACCATCTACGGCCACTACATCCCAAACACCAACCCAACGCGGTTCCTCGACCACATAGAGCACTATGCCAGGATTCACATCCTTCATCCTCGGCCACGGTCACTTTACCTCCTTCAAGCCCGACTCACCACCACCATCGGACTACGACTCCGAACCAGAAACAGCAAAATCCAAAAAGCGCCGTCTGCAAGAAGAACGCAGGCGTGCAAAACAAGTCTCTAGCTTCTATGATACCACGCAGTCGCGCGCAAACATGGAGAAGATGCTAGGTGTTGCGCGAAGTTTGTACGCCGAAATCTCTGCTCAGATTGATTTGTTTCATGATCTTGGGCTGGTGGAGGAGAAGGGGGCTATTATTAGGGAGTTTGAAACGGGGAATGGGAGGATTATTGCGGGAGCCAAGGAAATCCTGGATAGGTTTGAGAAGGGGGGTGGGAGGGGAGTTGTGAAAGAGCTGGAAGCAGGGGCGGCAGAGCTGAGGAGGGTTGTTACCACGGGGTCGGAAGGGGACGCGATGGATAGGTGTGTTATGCTGGAAGTTCTGTCTGTATATCGAATGCTGGTTATTGGACCAGTGAAGCAGATGAAGAAGGATATGAAGACTGCATTGAGGAAGAAGAAGGGCTGGACAGATCCCAAGTGAGGTTTTTAGATAATTTTGTTCAAGCCGTCTACTCTTGGCTGCAGCATTGATGAGCATCATGACATCTAGGTGAAATATAAGTTGGGTGTTTGTAGGATACGCCATGCTCCTGTTGCCTGGCAAGATACTACCCTGTCGTACTGCTTTGGTCTCGATGCTGGTTCAGAGAAATACTCCCATCCGCAAAATCATGGCACAAATGACTTGATACCACCGTCGTGGCCAGTATAGTGCCTAAAGAAACATCATGGCAGGAGACGTGGAGCTCGTTCCACCAAACTTGTTCGCCGTAATCTCGGGATGCTCAGTAATATTTTCACTGTACTGGATTGGTGCACTCCGGTCCTCTGGCACGTATGCCTCTGTGCTGGTAACTTGAACTGTGAGTGCTCCGTTGGGCTGTGCTATACGAGTGCCATTGTCCTATAACTGTTAGCACTAATAGACTACACAGGAATAAAGTGACTTACCGTAAAGATATTCCAAGTAAGAGTGTCCCTCAGGTATGGCACCACGTCGTCAGAGCTTATGCTATTCAGCTTACCAGCATTGACCAGGTCGATCAGGTGCGCTGTAATACTTGTGGTGCCGTACAGCACTTTCTCCGATTCGGTTCGAACTTGCAAAGTATGCATATTCTGCTTGTTGTCCGGCATGAGCATCATCCAGCTTCCTGCGTCCACACTAGGATCCGACTGGAATATACCGACAAAGGAGAACTTGACGATAAAGGTTGAGGGTAGCTTGGAAGCAATGGCCTGCGTATTGATGGTCCAGTCGGTGAAACTATTGCCATTCTTCAACAGCCTCTCTCCAGAACCCGTTTCAATTGCACTTGTAAGCTGCGAACGAGTCTGTCCACCATAAAGGGTCGAGATGACTGAGTTAACGGCATTCTGGTATGAATCGTCCGATGGATACTGCCAGCGCTGTGTTTCCGGGTAGGCATAGCCTAGGACTGTGGTATTGCGACAAGCATTCGGCGTCCAGAATTCACCAGGCGTCTTTCGAAATGGAAGAAGACTCGTGTCTCCGTTTACTTCCTGGTAGTCTTCCAAGTAAACGTTGCCATGAGGACCTATGTTAGAAGACTCCATCCAACGATCAGGATGAGCAGCCTGGTACAGGGCGAGGAGTCGGTCAACGTTCCTGACAGCGCTCGTCAGTCTTGTCTCACATCAAAAAGTGATTGTTACTTACGCGTGATGTAGCATAAAGAGTGGCTCAAATGCTGAGTACTCGAGCGGCCACATATGACCCTTGTATGGTGCATCAGCTGTATAGCCGCCGCCGATAATACCGTGTATCCAACCATGTGGATCCTCCAGCGTAGTAGAAAATCGTGAAAAGGTACTGGATCGGAAGACGACCCCTATCTGGGCTACTATGTTGACAGACTGGCCGGCGAAAGCATCGGAGAACATTCCGTTCTGCGAATGTGCCGTGGCATCATCAGTGTTGGGCCACCGTATCGTTGCGTTGATGTTACGCCACTACCGGAACCATTAGCGCCTTGTATTCGCAGAGTCCTAGTAATGACAACTATACTCACTTTTTCATCGAATCTATCGGATATAGGGTTGAATTGATAAGAGTATAGCGGGTTTGACATAGGCGTAGATACACCATCAGTGTTGGTGACCGTGAGCATAGGGTTGGTGAAGAATTCCGGCACAGGACCTGAGTTTGTTCCCTGAGCCCAGTCCCAGTATGGTATGCGAAACTCATTTGCGGCAGCAAGGTATCGTTCAACCTTATCCGTCGGTGCTTGAGTAGCGATGTCGTGAACATAATCTGACACGACTTGCTGCTCGAGTTAGCGATAGTCTTCAATTGCAGCCTGTGCTAGAATCGGGGTGATTACTTCAAACAATGCGAGATACGGACGATGCCAACCCATGAAGAGCTCATTGCCATGGGGGCAGTATCCTGTCATGCCTTGCTTGTATGGCAAACCCGGCGCATCTCCCCATGTCTGGAACGGCCTACCGTGTATAGCTAAGACATTATGTTAGCGATTTCAGTTTTTTCTTTTGCGCAAAGCATACGAACATGCGATTCCATAGAACGAGTATGCGTCGCTCTGATTGGCATTGTGAAGCTTATTCAGCGCAAGAATGTATAATGTCCATTGGTCCGGAAAATTGGCCTGCAGGTCTCTCACTTCCCGGCGCACAAATACGTTGCCTGTAAGAGCATTAGATAGCGCTCCTTGCTGAAAGGCTTGAGTGTCGTTCACCATTCTGGTCTCGTGAGGTTGCGCCAGTAACTAAGCCATTTCCGGATTGACGGGCCTCATAGTGGTTTCCATGCGGAACAATGGTGCATGTGATATATGATGATAGTATTGCGAGTAATAGGAGCCGTAACATGGCAGAGAGATGCATCTTGAGCGAGTGTGGTGCGGTGTGGTACTGATGTCTGCTAAGAGGCGGTTAGAGATGGAATTATATGAGTATCGTGGCTCGTCATTTAGCGTGGTGAGTGAATATCCACTCATCACCGATGATTCACCGTATGTTGTTTCCCGATTTGGTATCCCCAGCGTGGGAGGAAGGTAGTCGCGGTAGAGCGCATGGCATCGCCAAGCAGCGACACGATCAATGCATTCCAGCATTGACTTCCAAAGCTTGTGAACACATTCCGGAATTGTCTATTGGGGCTATCACAGTAATGGCGAGAGCATTAGAGGTTCAAATCGAGAAAACTCTGCCATTTAACGAAATCTCTGTACTAACCTTACACGCAAACGCGATCTGAGTAAACAGTTCTTAATTAACGCTAGGTCGGATCAGTGAGACGACGGTATATATTCCCCACACACTAACACACCACGGAATGAAATGCGGAACGAGTGTGCTGTAAGCAGAACTCCCCACCAATACTCATTTGTCACTCGATCGAAGAGAGGTAGGGCTGACAGGAATACAATCTAACTTACCTGACAATACACTGAATACACAGCCAAGAGCTAAGCACCCCGTATGCGGGCAGAGGCGTTGGTCGCTGGAGAATGGGTGAGGGAAAATACTGACGTGGTGAGACGCGCCTTCCTAAGTATGGCACGGTCACTTCTTCTCGTGTAGTTGGTGCCTTGCGGGCGTACAAAATACTGCAACCTCATACTGCGTGCAGAAGTAAATTTGTGTAACGTATAGATAATCTACTGCAGCTGACCTGTGAAGCTCCTCGCGGCTTTGATGGAACGCGTAGTCATTGTCGGTGCCCTCGTAAGGAAACCCATTGTACATCACATAGTAGCCGAATATCTATTGCTCCATATTGCTGTTCAGTCCAAATTGTAGATATTGGTGGACCGTCGCATCCGCATTTTGCTGCAACTATCGTTGCACGGCGCATGGAAAGATATGCGCCATGCAATGTTCCCCGGTTAATGAAGACGAAGCATGGACTATAGTATAGAGTATCCTCCTGGCCATACATCCTCATGTTTGCTGTTCGGTAGTGTGATCGAGGCTTAAGAAGGAACGAGTCGTTCAGCAGTCGCTTGGGGGTATCTACTAGTTAAATGATGATGTGTGCTGATTAGCAAAGTCACTGTGGAACGTTTCAAGGTACCGGAGGTAGGCAGTCATGAATTTCCGATGAACCAAAAGAAGACGCTAGTATAAGTCATTTGTGCAGCTAGCCGTAGGCGCCCGTCTTGTGTATCCAGATGAGCTCATTAAGCGTCTGATACTTCCGTAGCCTGCAGCTGTCGCGCAAATCAAGAGAATGCTAACCAAACCGTTCTCGCCACTTCTTCCACCACTCTAAATGTCATTGTAACCCAAAAGTCTCTTGTCCAGGTCTTTGTCTGCGACCGCCCAAGCCCAAGCACGACCAGCCTCACCGCACCACAAAGCCGAAGGATCGTCCGACTTTTCAAGCATACCATCCTTCGCCATCGACTTGATCTCGTGGCCTGTGGTGTAAGTTAAGAAGTGCTCGAATTGTTTTCCGTCTAGAGCAAGTGCGTTCCCACTGATGCCGTGACACAAACATGGCTCCTTGGTAAGTAGCCCTCTCTCCCAAATACATTCCCTGGCCTTTGCAATGACCTTATCGATACGCTCGTGGAGTCCCGGGAAATACTTTCGAATTGACAAGAGCGATGTCACAACGCCAGGCGCGCCGTGACAGACTTGTACGAGCTTGTCACGGCCCGGCGGTAGAGACGAAGGAAAATTTCCACTCTCGTATTGGTAGCTCAGCAATGCCCCCAGCTCGGCCTCTAGCTTAGCGGCCCAGGACGGGTCAGTGAGTACTATCTGTGTAATGATACCAATTGCGCCATGTACAGCACCGACGTAGGCTTTTCCGTGCCACTTCCAAGGACGCGGGCTCTGCATGATGTTTTCGATGACTTCGTCGGCCGTGTCCTCTATGAGCTCCATGATTTCCCTGTTATGTCCGAAAGCCCCACGTACCAGTCGAAGTAGGTACAAATAGCCTGCACGACCAAATAGCCATTCATTAGAAGTTTCGTCTTCAAGCATGACCGCAGCATGATCGCATAACTCTTTCACCGTATCCGGGTCTTTTGCTGTAACAGCGTACAGGGCGAGTAGCGACATGATATCGTTGGATATGCCACATTTCTTCGGAGAGGGCGCCAGGAATTCCTTGATATGCGATTGGGCCTGTTCGATATATGCGGCAGACCATGTATTCAACGGATAGTCGTCGAGGGTTAGATCTGGGTAGATGTTGTGTAGGGCGTAGAACAAAAAGGCGACCGAGATGGGTCCGTAGTATAAGCCACCGCCCGGCGGAACATGATGCGGAGGATAGTCGGTGATCAACCGGTCCAACGACGCTAACAGTTGTTTGTGAGGATCTCGTCGTGCCAACGGCGCATCATTACGGAAATAGCGGGGTATTGAGGGTGCTGACGTTTGTGTTGCAGGTGCCACAGGCGGTGCGGATTCTTCAGACATGACGATAGGAATGAGTTGCAATGTGTTAGGATTTTTACTGAGAGCAAGAATAGGAATTAATGTTTGCGCAAATTTACGTCTGCGCGACTGATCTGCGGAGAGGCTTGGGACCATCGTAGCTGCCTTGAAGGATGACGTCAGCGGGGCTAGCGAACCATGATTGGCCTGCACGCCGTCGCAAACTTACTAGAAGCCAGCAACAAGGCCCAGAATATTCTATACAAGTATGCATCATCACCCTGATTACCTGAATCTATCATGTTCACCCTATAGTTTCCTGCCACAAGTCCTTGCGTCACAATACGCAACCCCAAACTTGTAAGCATCAAAACATGTCCCAATGACCTCGAAGGATAGACTTAGGATCTGGTATTTGTTTTCCTGATATAGAGGCTTTTGCAGCATTTCCAAACCATGGTATCTCACAGTAACTACCGATGAGAAGTGTTACCTGGCCATGGCAACGGCTCCGCTGCAAGCTCCACGTATCGTCCAGCCGAATCATGGCGGCCATGTTCTAGCAGACTTATCTCCCGGCTGTCCAGTTGTGGAGTGTCGTGCCGTTCTGTTAATGACTCGGCCCTGTATAAGGCGGCAACCTTCTGCTGGAAATGTGACGATACTTTGCCTACGTTGATGTCAATACGGTGCTTATCATCGGAAATGGAATATATGGACTGACTGGAAAGTTGCGGCGTCATATCACTACCGACGAAAGGAGAAGGATATGACGGGGCTTTGTAGATCTTTGTATATTTTCTTTTCCTCATATATAGACATACGCCGACCAATATAGCGCATAGTACGATGGCTCCTAATACCGCTCCTACAATCACCCCTATAGGTGCGGAGTGACTTTTCGATCCTGATGTAGCGTCGGATACTATGCTCGTTGCCGATGCAGTCGGTGCGGCTGTTACATGTGAAGGATCTACTAGGCTGAAGGATATATTTGGGTCAAGCGAAGGCCTGGAGGTTGCTGAAGACAATGTCCGTGTGATAATCAACGTAGAAGTGAGAGCGTTTGCAGAGGTCGTTATTGATCCCGTAGATTCAGCAGGAGGGGCCGAAGACGCTGGAAACAAGTCAGCTACATATGTAAACTACACATTTGGAACTTACATCGACCTGGCGTGAGATCCTTGCCGGCAGGACATCTACCACCCGGCGTGCAAGGGTCTACCGTGCAGCAGCCACGGAACCCGTAGCACATATAGAAAACACCCCCAGCTGGACAATCATCATCCCTTCTATAGATTGTCGAAATCATTGTGCGACGTCAAATGATCCAATGTGATGATGGTAGTGATAGGATAAGAATTCAGTGAATGAATGATGTAGAGATTTGACTACAACTATAAGGAAGCTCTACAAGCATGTTTGCTGCAAACTATAAACACAACGCAAACGCATTGCTGTTGCGAGCCGACATGCTTGCGCAAACAAAGCGCCGCATTAGAAAGGGCACTCCTTGGTGTGGCTCCTGATCGTGCTTGAAACGTCTTGCCTAATGCAGCCACATGGTCAAAGAAAATTCCATACTAAGCCTTGCGATCAATAATGGGTATATTTGGATGAGATGCATCTGTTGATGCAGTCTCAAGCAGGTGCAGGTGGGAGCGTTACAGCGAAAGGGGGAAGCAGAAGGGTCGCAGCCCCCGGCAATGAGCTTAATGGGCCAATTACGTCAGACGCCCAATGGATCTGCCAACTCGTTCTATTTTCGCGTCAAAAGCTTCATCGATCATGCTGTTCCGATGCTTCATGACAAATACCTCTGACCAACGGCATTATACGTTGGCGTCCCTGGTCGGTGTCGGCCGTCATCTTTCACCTAACAGCGCTTCTCTCGAATCCTACGTAACGCCACTCGGAATGCGGGACTTTGAGATAGCACAGCTTTAATATGCATGAGCGCCTGCTTTGAGCCACGATTGTGTCCATGGGACGTGTTTGAGGTGAGATCCAGCTTGAGACGTCGTTTGGGTTCTGTACACGAGCTCCAAGACACTGATGGCCCCTGACCACTCATCGGCACGGCCCACCATTACCTCTTCTACAAATTTCCCAAGCATAAAAAGGCATGATTAACCACCTCTCTAACTCGCCGGGAATCGTTCCGATTCCGTTTGGAGCCAATCTGGAACTTGCTTATTGCACCACTATGAACCGCCACTGCAAGCTCACGAGAAGTATATGTCGTCGCACGACGGAAAACTGGTTTCCTAGCTCGGTAATGACTTCTGAATCTTGCGTTTATACACGAAGGAAGCCTACATGCCAACTAACACCAGATTGCCAGCTCACTTCTGCACCCTGATCCCGGACTGTAATGTGTAGAATATGGGTATCTCGGAACTGGTTCCAATTATGAGTGGCAGTAACATCTGACCTAATGGTTCTCCTGGAGCACTACAATAGACGCAGCACATATAGCGGGTCGTGAGTTTCAGCAACACAGTTGCGACGCGAATCCACACTCCACTTAACCATGAACATGTTCACGGTATGTCCAACATTGCGCAGTGTGAATTTTAACATCAAGAAACAAACCTTCTCTGTCAGAAGTTCCAGATTGCCGATCCGCAATTCCGAAAAATCTTCGGTGAGCACCCAGTGAACCACGTGGTTCAGTCGAAATCAGAAGTTAGCGTACCACCCAAAGCTAGGGAGCTACACATATACTGTAGGATTAACGTTTGGTAGCGGTATTGGGGTCGTTTTGAATGTCAAGGTTGAAAGCAAACTCATAAAGCAGAAGGCGAAGTACGATGGGCTAACACGATAGGCGTTGATTGTTCAAGTGACGAATGGTAAGCGATATTTGATATTTATCACGGAGCGGTCTACCGAAAATTCCTGACACGAATCGTTTACGAGTCTTGTGCTCTTTCCTTGGTAATCCTACGGATCATACATTCTAAGCCAATAGCGCTTCTCACAATCTTGCGAAACATGGTAATTACATTCGTAATGGATTACGTAGAGATATTTGAATCCATCGTTAGGTGACACACAAGAATGTTAGTCAATCATTTTTAACCATGGATCAGTGGCCGTTTATTTTCTTTAGCACACTATAGATACCTCACTTAGGTATCTTCGGCAAACTATATAAACCCTTTATCCTCCCTTCCAACTTGTCTCTTCAACTCTTTAGCACCATCCTTCACAACCGCTTTACTGTTAATACAACTAATAAGCCATACAAACCTTCCATCCTCCATTCCAACTTGTCTCCCAACTCTTAAAGACTACCCTTCACGTTTGCTTTACTGTTACTACAAAATCTTGTCTTCTAAAAGGTTGTATGCCCGAATCTCCGGCGAGATCCTCTACGAGGATACCGCACAACGCTACCACGACCTCCTCCAACGCTTCCGAAATGTAGCCAACTTTGCGATCAACTCCCACAAAAAGTACGATCTTACAAGTCAGAAGCTGAGTACTTGGTCTGTCTGCAAATCTTCAAGTCTAGACCCCCTTCTAGACCCCCTAGACGAGGTGATTTGCATGATCAAGGGCGTGATACATTCGCGACATGTATCCTTCTATGAAGACTGGTTACAAAACCCCCGGGACTTACTTTCAATGGCCTTCCAGTAAGGACAAGAATTCACTATGGAACAGATTTTCTTATAGCATGGCCGATCAGGTACGCAACCTGCGGAACTGGTTTTCAGATTTATTCGGCATAAGAGAAATTTCAATCGAAGAAGAGAATGGTAAGTTCGATTTGCTCTTAACGGTTTATGCGGAACTTCTTCTAATTGTCGAAGAGCTACTGAAGAAGCTCAAAGAAACCTTTGATGATAGCTCCGCGTGGGCCACCACAGCACATGGATGTGAAGAGAGGCTGCCCAAGCATCCTGTGGCTTTACAGCTCGAGCTCCAGGCAAGACTCGATAAATCTATGGCCGAAATAAAGCAAGCTAAGGCCACCAAGGATGGCAGACGGTCGATAGTGAGGATTTATGGGTATACGGCAGAATTACCCTCATCATCTTATACGATCTGGCCTCGTGGTTATGAAGATTTTTAAGATACCAAGGCTTCAGCATCAGAACTCCAGACACAAGAACATATTGGCAGCTGCGAAAGGAACGCGTACCCAAATTATATCGACGACAATATGCTATTAGACTAAGCAGCTACTGTATCCGCCATGCCATAATTCTTTTTAGTGTTCCATACCCTCCACTCCCCAGCGTTCACCGCATCATACTTCTTCACTTCGTCTTTCTCCTTCAAGATCGGATCAATCAGCACATCAGGGTCTGGATGTATGAAAAAAGGAATCGAATATCTTGCCGGCAACACATCGCCAGATACCCGCGGGCTTACGACTCGGTGCATAGTACTTCGACAACGATCGTTCGTCAAGCGTTGCATTAGGTCCGCAATATTGATCAGTACTGTCCCGGGAACTGGTAGCGCCGCTTTGAATTCGCCGGTATGGAAGGGATCGACCTCAAGGCCGCCGACGTTATCTTGGAAGAGCAGTGTGCACAGGCCGAAGTCAGTATGCGGAATGATACGCGCATGCCCTTCTTGTTCGACAATCTTCTTCTCGATGGATGGATAGCGAATAAGGCGGAGTTGTGGATCGGCCCGCTTGGTGATATCGTCGAAGAAGTTGTCTCCCAGATCCAAGGCCATGGCCAGGCATCTAAGCACATTCATACCCAGAACGTAACACTGGTTGTAGAAGTCGTCAATAGTCTCGCGGAAGCCAGGAAGATCAGAATCTGAGGGACAGGACGGGTTCCTAAAGCGGCGATGTTCGTAGCATTCTTTGTGGTCGGTACCTCCATTTGCTTCGTCGCCATCGCCGGTGTAGCCTTGGTTTATCTCGGGATCGGATAGGCGCCAAGTGTATTTCTTTTCCAGTGGTAGATCGAAGAAGCTTTTAGCCTAATTTCTGTCAGGTCCGTTATATATTGACATTGAGAAAACATACAAGTCGGAATATCTCATCAACACGCTCTTGTGGTATGCCGTGATCTTTCAGGTAAACCCATCCAACTGTCGAGAAGGCGTCATATATTTGTCTTGCTACCGCACGTCTCTCCGCATCACCGCCGTTGATGAACTTTTCAAATGAGACGATTGCAATTTCGGCTGTGCCCGCCATAGTATAAAGTTCGATTGTAGTTGGTAGCTATGCAGATGTTCATGTACGCGCGAGGTGCGTATGCTCTGCGTTCATTGTGGCCACCACCGTAGCGGGAAAGTGGGCTTTGCCTCATCGTCATCCCGTCACTGCGCAATCGGCCCTGTCTGTCCCTAAGATCACGTGTTCGCGAGGCCTCAGAATGCATCATGTACACTATGCGCTACATGCCCATGTGTAGTTTCGTTCTTCTATTAGACGTGTAATGTTCTCGTCTAGTTCAACTATTAACATACTCGGTCTACAAAGCTTGAGCCTGCTTCGCCCCAGGATATAGTGGCATAATAATCTTGACAGCAGCCTCATAGCTGGTGAACAGTATACCACCACTAAAAACGGTGCGTCCCAACCTCATTGTCGTGCCTTTCCAGAACCCGCGGATTCCATAATCCAACAACACGCTCTTGACAGCCTCGACCGTAGTCGTCCCTTTTGCGCTCTGCGACCGTGTCTTGATAACATCAAAAGGCTGTGTGGATAGTGTTGTGACAATGCCAGCCACGGAGCCGTTGGCAAAATTGACAGCAGTGTTTTGCTCTATATTTCGAGTCTTTTCAAAGTCTTTAAGGATGTTGTAGGTTCCCATTCGGAAAGCCGTGGCAAATGCTTGCTTGAGCGTGGTGCCAGCAAAGCCGCGGTACAAGCCCCGAATACCATGCTCTTTCCAGATAGTCGTGGTGGCGTGTAGACCAGAGCGGAAGCGCTTCTCATTTCTCGCGTCGTCTATCAGGGCCGTTTTGATGCGCTCTGTTGGCGTCACGGCAGTGATGGATGCGACTACTCCTGCGGACATGCCGGCCAGTAGATTGCGAAGAGGTGAAAGGGTCCCGGTCTCTGGATCTGCGAAGGACAACTTGATTTGGTCGAAGAACAGAAATCTCACGGCATCCTTTCCGACCGAACCCTGTCATCGTCTCAGTCTTACTACTTCCGATAAGGAGTATTGAGCAAGTGATGATTCGGACGAAGCAAGCTCAGTTCTTATGAGAGCAAGCTGCACAGATCAGGTGACTTGAAGAGATGCACACTCACAAATACAAGTGCGCCGCAGCCCTTGTAGAGCGCTCTAATGCCTTCATTCTGATACACCTGCGTGACGACGTAGAAAGGATTCCGAGGTGTCGGTATGCCTTTCTCTGCTCTCAATTGCACTCGTGTCTTCGCAAATTCCATAGGATACTGCATGAGCAACACGTAAGTCGCGCGAAAATGACCGGAATACCGCTTTGGAGACGTACCGAGAGGAACCCTTCCACGCCGCCAGCAATGCCGCCGGCTGCCAGAGAGACTACCGCGGGTACGTTCTTATCCTGGGAAGGCCATCAATTGGGATTCAATGAGCTCTTCATTGTGGCTTACATTGCCGCCTGAAACCATTTGCGTTTATAGGTTTGGGATGAGGATGGTGTTACGATGACGATGGGTGGATGAAAGTTGCGGATATGCAGCTAGCCGATAGCCGGGTTAAAGGCGCGGTGTCGGATAACTCTAGCAGCTCTGGAGTGCGTCGACACATCTAACACAGCGCACAAACATAATCACATTGCGAATTATAGGCATATATTGGTGACTTGCAAGTTATTTTGGTAGTCTTCATTTAGTGTTGTAACTTCAGTGGTTCACGGGTGCGTTGACCGAATTTTCGGATAAGCGTCAGCTTCTGCGCAGGCATTCGACGGCCATGGAAAGTCTCGAAATACCACGGAGCAATCCTTTACATTCGTTTGTATGACGTTGCCTGATATCTTAGGGACTCCAAAAAGACTCCAGTCTCACCTGGGTATCACAGAATACTTTCCAGTGTGGGTAAGCGCCTAATAGGCGTGTCTGGCGACTACAGTGGCCTTTTCCCACTAGTATGTCAAGTATTTTATGACACCCGAGTGGTCTGTAAGTCACAATAGTGAAACCCCGCGATACCGAATCTTGTTCGCCTTGAGCTTCTCCGCAACTTCTGCAATGCCAGGCTCACTCAATTCAAGGTTTTCGATCCCAGGCTTCACATCGTGGGTTGCTGCGAATTACAACATCTCGTCGTGCTTGGCCCGGGAAGCGACGAGGCTATATCCAACGAAAAACATCTACAAAATGCACTATTGGAATACTCCAGCACTGTTGTGTTTCAATCATGGATGAATTTTGCTTACGGAAGCTCGAGAGTCCCATGAGGCGCAACCAACGGAATCACTTTCCTGCTCTGGCCAGAACTTCCTTGGTCATGCATCTGGAAGGCAACATGTTAGGCAGCATCAAAGGACCTGTTGTGTTGTAACTCTTCCAATCCAGAGACTTACTTCCAGCAACCACCAAAGTGCTAACAGGCTTATACAACGTCCCCAGGCCAGCTGACAAGCTGATTGGATAGCAAGATGGCGAATATCAACAATGCCTATGATGCCCATTCGCTCTCCTGGCTTCACCACAGACACCAACGCGTTGTACGTCGTAGCGCAAGCATACTGGGGCGGAGCCACATGTTCTCTCGCCATATTTCCAGAGATCTTATGCAGTTGCGTTTCTTTGCCGATATAATACAGGTTAAACTACTATTCATATTCCAACATTACTAGGATAGCGTTGGGATGGGACACAGATGTTCAGTACTACGTGCCTTATCTCCACCACCGGCAATGTCCACATTATTAGCAGACCAACAATCCTCTTTTCCAACACACGCAAATTAGGTGATCGGTGAATATCTAGGTAACTTCCTACTGTACATCTTCCATCAACCGCGAAATCTAACGCCTAGCCAGCAAACCACCTACACCCCAACCCCATCCAACCCAACCAAACTATCAAACCGATTCGCCCTCGCCGCCGCATACTCATCCATCTTCTCATCCGCACTATCCCCTTCACTCTCATCTGCCCCACTACCCCTCAGCCTCCCCAACTTCCTCAACGCATCATCCACATTCCACGCAATCCTCTCCGCACCCACTCTCGCGCCCACCAAATTCGGCGCCCCAGGTCCCAGCCTTAGTCCCGCTAGCCTTCCAGTAGCAAAAAGTGGAACGTCATCTCTCCACATGAGATCTTCGTTCAAGCACGGTAGCCCGCCCACGTATTTGATTGGGTACTGCTGTTGGAGAGAGGCAAGGTACGGTATACTACGTACATCTGTCTGGATGCCTGTTGCAAAGACTATGTAGTCGATGGATGGAAGCTCCACGTCTGCGGCGTCAACTTTGCATGTCCAGGTTTTCGCGTCTGGGTCCCAGTCTACAGATTTTAATGTTGTGTAGGTGTGTAGGGAGATGTTTCCACGCGCTACCTGGGTATCGAGGATCTTGCGGTAGCGTGGTGTCATACTGCCTCCGTTTCGGGCTTTCATCATCATTTCGAAGCGCTCTGTGGTGAGAGGAGGGTATGTGTTAGCTTCTAGCTCGATAAGGATATGGGGTAGGGTTGCTTTCATGTACCTTCATCTGTGTCTGCGGTCCAGAACTCTGCTTGCTTCAGGTTGCGGAATTTGCCGACCCATTCGAGGTCGACGTCAAAGTGCTTAACCTTGAGGGGCCCCCGCATGAGTAGGTAGACTTTGGTTACGCCGCGCTTGA